TTTTTTTTTTGTTTGTTTTTGTTGTTTTCTTTCTTTTTTGTGTGTTTTTGTGTTTTGTGGTGGTTTCGGTTTTTGTTGTTGTTGCTGTTCTTGTGGGTGTGTTTGTTTTTGTAGTCGTCGGTGTTCTTGCGATTGTTGTTTTATTTGTCTCTGCTCTTGTTCTTGTCGCTGTCGTTGTTCTTGTCGCTGTCGTTGTTCTTGTCGCTGTCGTTGTTCTTGTCGCTGTCGTTGTTCTTGTCATCATCATCATCATTCTCACCATCCCCATCATGCCCATGCTCATTCTCGCCGACACCGTCACTACCACCAGTTGCCGGCGCAGACGGAGGTACAGGTGGAGGCGAAACACGCTCGACATACCACCCGTGCAAGCCATTGACCCGTCCAGCGCGAATCGCCGCCTCTGCCTGCGCGAGGTTCACCGACGCCGTGGCATGGTACGTGAAGTTGTCGCCGGCGGGCAACTCAAAGGCCGAGGCGATGGCGGCGCGGAACTCGTTTGCCTGGAGGTGCGCGTGGATCTTGTCCCAGACCCTTGGAGCTGGAGCGGGAGCGGAAGCCATTGTCGAAGTTGCCTCATCATTCCCCTCGACGACGCTCGAGAACAAGTGCGAGGGAGACCACGTCTTGGACCCGTCCGTCACTGCTTGTGGTGAGGGTGGCATTTTCTCCTTTCTTTTTTTCCAGTCGGACGGACAACACACTCCGTAGCCCGGAGGATGAAATTGGATCTCTCTGACCGAGAAAGACGAACCGCACCGCCCAACCCAGTCCAGACAAGTGAGCCCTATTGATAGAAACTTTCACGCAGTTGGATTTTGCGGGGGAATGTTCCTTTAAGGTAAGGTCCTTGAAAGGTCAGGGCCTGCACAAGCTAGAGTCGGGGAATTTCGTCCTCGCACCTGTAGAAAGACTTTTGAATGGAACGGGGACTTTTGTAGTCGATCAGAGTTTATTGATTTCAAATGACGACATTGCGTTCAATAGTTGGGGTAGCAAAAAAACTAAGGCTGCAAGGGCCGAGTCCGCAAGGCTGCGCACCGAAAGGGGAGTAAGAGAGTGAGCCATCGAAACCCGCGAGCTAGCGAGGGAAAGAGGAAGAGAGTGAGAGAGGGATGTAGTTCATGTAGTACTCGGTCGGTGCGGAAGATGAACCCCCAACTCAATTTTTGTTCCATTGTGATTTTCCTATCCCATCCTATACCACGCTTGCTATGCCATGCTACACTACCTAAAACGCCTCGTGCATATGAAACACCTTCACTAGCGTTGACATTCTGGGTAATAGAGAAAGAGAGCGAGAGAGAGAAGAAAGACACCTTGACAAACATAAACTCCTCCTCCCACCATTCCATTAACCCTTTTCCATGGTCCAATACCAATCTCCATCCTCCGCAGTCACAGACTCACTGAGTTGGCCACCGGCACCTCATTGACGTTGACGCTGTCGTTGTCGAAACTCATACTCATTCTCTTCTTCTTCTTTTTCTTCTTCTTCGTCTTTTCGCTGGGACTGGGATGATCCTCACCGTTGATGGCTTCCATATGCACCGCCTCAGCACCCCTCTCTTCGAGCCCGACAGTCACGACGCCATTCGCCGCCGCAACTCCCTCGTCGCTGCATGCGTCACCAAACGCCGACTCGTACACGACCTCATCATGGGACAAGTGGTTCTTGGCTCCATTGGTGTCTGCATGTGGGGTCCGCGCACCGTCACCCTCCTCGATTATTGCATCCACGGGAACACTGTCATGGGCGACTCCATTCGCCTCAACAACTGGGACGACATCGTCGAATTTGAGTTCTGGTGCATGTTCTGGCGCATTCTCAAAGACAGGCTCGAGCCTATCCATTTCTTCAGATGCCTGCATCTTTGGAGGCTCCTCAAAGTTCTCTGCCACAGGGACCACATTCCAGTCCTCCTTGACATAATCTTCATTTGGAGGCGTCTCTTGGGGCCGTTCATAGACTTTTGGATCCTGCTCTTGCTCCGGGTCCTCCCCCCAGAGGGGATAGCAGTCTTCTTGTGTATAGGGACATCCATCACACAGGCTCTGCCGACGTTTGATTTCGTCATGGTTATGGAAGCGGCAAGACCCAGTCAAATAGTCCTTGGCCGTCCACTCCTTGTCGTTGGATTTGTGAAGATCCCAGCCAAAGTCAGAATTGCGCTTATAGGTCCTCTCCCACTCATCGCCATCGATGTTACCTCTCGGCACCTGACCCAATGCCGCCTTGATCACCTCTCGGAGCGGACTCTTGTTGGGTGCTGCTTGATAGATGGCGTCCACGATAGCGGCCTCCAACTTCCACTCATTGTTTGCGAGGTTGTGCCGGATCATGTCGGTCACCTGGTTGCTCAGAGCCGAGACCTGGTACTTCCAGGCGAAGACCCCAAGTTGGACAACCTCGCTGAAACTCAACCGGTCTTCGAGCTGAGGATTCGGGCAGAAGTTCCAGATGAAGAACTCTTCCATTGTCTGGGCACCGGTCTCGAGGAGTGTAATTTCTCTTGTAGCAGAGTACGGTGAGAGCTCCGCAATTTGCTCTCGCAGGGTTCTCGAGCGACGTTGCAGAAACTCCTCGGGGATGAGGAATCCCCTAAGAGTGCCGTCATCTTCGCCGACTAATAACTTGACCCGCGGACTCTGGCACCACCTAAGGACTGGTTAGCAAGACGGCTGATATCAGGGCAACTGTGAGAACTGACCGGACATATAGTCCACGGTGACGGGGATCCATGGCTCATAAACGGCCTTTCTCGGTTCTAAAGTAACAAGAAGAATGGGAATTCTTGATTAAACGAAGAAAGAAAACAAACCCTATGTATATTCACTCATGGCACGCCATAATCCTTGTAGAGCCTCAAGCTCGGTGTCGCATGCGAGTAGACCGGCTCGCTGCCAATGGAACAACCTTGACAAGCGACGCGTGGGAGTTTGTGAGTGGATGGCAAAGTGAAGCAGACTTACCTCGAGCTCAAGGGCATGATGCATCGACCGTCCTTGTCTCTGTTAACTCACCGGTCAGTAACAGTTCGTGACATCCAATCATGATTCTTGTTGGCGGAGCTGCAAACGACGAAATGCACCTGCGAGCAGGCTCGAGTACGTTCCTCACCGATGAGCCTGGGATACACATGCACACATAGATAGACCAGATGGATTTAGCAAGGGAGGGTCCGTTCAGCGGTCTGCAGAAGAGAGCAGCCACCGGAGAGCACCTTCTCGCACGGCCCGTCGAAAGCTACACTGCTAAATCGAAACTGAGTCGTCTAGCTTGGTAGATACAATTGCCTCCCAGTAGCAGTGAGCTAGGGATCCTGGCCTTCGGAAGGATGGGTAGGAATCAGAATTCCAGCCTGCAGGGACGCAATGGACTAAATGTCTCGGGCATCAACTGGACTCTGCAGCGGCGGCGCTGTAAAGGCCCGCCTCAGAACTCCAGGGAGGGGCAGTCGGTTTCGGCCGCTTCATCGTCAGAACGAGGTATATCCCGCTCGCATGGTCGTTTTCGCATGCGTGTGCTTTCTCGGTCGTTTAGAGCATGTCATGCAGCCCAAAGGGCAACCAGAGCTCTGCCCAGCCGTCTTGAACAGGTGACATCCTCCTCGGGGGATGCGAGTAACCAACTGGACACCAGGCAATCGCGAACAAAACCATTGGGTGCTTTGTTCGGGCAGCAACAGACGTGATTGAAGGTGCGCCCTGCGGGTTGTGCTTGGGCACTGTCTAGTTGACGCGAGTAGAGCATGGCAACGTGCAATGCGCTGGCCGGCTTGGTCGGATCCATATCAAATGACCAGTTGTCGAGAAGGGATTTGGAAAGGTCGGAAATAATAATCGAAGCCCAAAATGTCTCGAGAGAGCCTAGATTCGGTACCCAGCAGCAATCCACAGGCCCCTCTGCACCAAGCGTGCATTAGCGCAAGGCAAACAGACAAAAGGAATGCTTTGGCGAGGCGCCTTGCTGGTAGCAACCTTTCAATGCCCAAAATATCCGGCAGTGAATGGAAAAAGGTGCCAGGCCACGTCCGCTTGGGTATCTCTATAGTCCGAGTTCATTCCATGTGATCCAGGGATACTGCTTAGCCTCGAAGAGTCCAGCGAGGCGACACCGACAGGGACTTTTGGTGCAGAATGAGGCTCAAGTTCATCAAATCCAGACGGTCTCGCTAAGATAGCAAAAAGTTAATGTAGACAGGTTACCGAAATTGATCTGAATCATCGAATAGCGAACGGACAGAAATCCCAAAAGCCACCCTACGTAGCGTACAGTCATCGAGACAGTTGTACAGAGGCATCTCAAACATAGTCGAAGCATCCTGCGAAGGGTCTGCGTAAGCCTGCGGTGACTCTGGCCAGGGACCCCCAAGTCGAATGCTGGGCTTGGGTATCAATCCGACAGAGGCACCAGCCCAAGCGTCCTCATTCCATTCTCCAACACAATGTGGCAACATTTGTAGAATGCCAGTTTGGCTAGGCTTCGAGCAGAGCCTTCGGCCTCGGCCTCATCTTCCCAGATACTGGGCAAGAGGTCGATGATGCTGAACAGGAATGTCAGAATCTGAGCGGATTCCAACCTTTCAAACGACGTCTTCAGGATCGCGGGGAACTGGACGAGAAGCCTGAGAATGTCGGCGTATGTATTGTCTTCACCATCGAACATGCTGTAATCTGTGCTCTCGAGTTCCGCACGATCGATCTCGACACCGCTGAGTTTCAATCCGAGCTTTGTGTGCCATTTTTGAAGGTTCAAGCCAGTATAATCCCTGGTGTTTGCCAGCTTGTTGAGGTCAAAGTTGAACGTGCCGCCGCGTCTGGTAGAGAGATCGTCGACCATGAGACTGGTAGCCCCCAGGGCATCAAAAACTTTCAGCGGGTCTTGCTCGGAAAACAGCTGAGCTGCCTCTTCGTCTGTGCCCAGCGCCAGTTGAGTTGCATCGCGACATTGGTCTAGAATGTCGCCCAAAAGGAGGCCACTGGTTCCTTCTTTCGGCACGAGGCCATGTACGTCGCCAAAGCCGACATGATCGAGTCGTTGCGCCAAGTCAGAACGGTCCATCAAGTCGAGGACCTTGAAGACTTGTTGAAAGTGAGTAGTCTGCCGCGCCGACACGACGTAAATCATCTTGTCAAAGGAATATTTCTTGCTGCGCTCCAAGACCGCCGCAACATCTCGGAGCAAGTATGTCGTGGTGCCGTTACGAAACCGCGCGATGGCCGCCCCGTGCTTTTCATCGTTTTTGTTGATATCAATTACCCAGGCACCATCACTCTCCCGGTAGACTCCCTTCTCCTTCAACGCATTCTCGACCTCTTCAATAGTCTCGTGAGAGACATCCGACTCACCCGAGTAATCGTCGAATTTCACACCGAGTCGGGCATAAAGTTCGGTGTATCGCGTAATGCAGACTTCACGAAACCTTTTCCACAAAGCCAGGGCATCTTCATCGCCGTCCTCGAGTTTCTTGAAGAAGTCGTCTCTTTCTGCTTCGATCTCGTGACTCACTTCGGCGCCATCTTCGCCTTCGGGGTTCTTCTTGGCCGCTTCCTGCTCTTTTTTGAAGAGATCCTCAATCTGTTCGTACACGTCAAGCAAATGTCGTAGAGGATCAGCGTCGAATTGATCGTCTGACCCGAACCGCGACCAGCCGGCTGCCAG